TCTGAAAAGCAGGTGGCTCGAGGTGATACACCACATACTGTAAGTATTGCTGATGATCATGTGGGCCACCAAACACTGCATAAGGCTGGAAGAGAAACACCGGGCATCAAATCTTGGTGTACAATCTGGGATTTCAGATGTTGAACATAAGCATGAATGGCTTGGTATGTTTATGAATATCCTCAAAACGAGCTTTCTCGTTTCTTGACATGCCTCGACATGTCTCGCCAGTCCATGCGAGACGGACCAGTCCAACCAACCAGTCATCGTGTTGGCATCGCCGCGATGGGTTTGGATGTCCAAGGATCTTTCTCCAAGCCGACAGCTGCCAAGAATGCCTCAGCCAGGTGATAGGAGCTGAGCTGAGAAGATCATACACACCCTGTGACAATTGACAGCTGAGGGTGAGCTTAACAATACACACCCTTCAATATTGATATCTTTCAGTCATGTCCAGCTTAACAATATCAATTGAAAGATTTTGCCCGGACATGCCGGACATGCGTCCAAGCCGCAGACTAGTCGTGCAACCTGGGTAGAGATGTATAACTGCCAGCACCAAATTGACCTTTGGGAAAAAGAAGCTTCACAATGAAACCTGAAAGTACCCTCACCAAGTAGATGACTTATGTGGCACATGGGACTCTGGTTACAAAAAAAACTACCCAGTGAACCCCTGTGGAACAAGGGAATCATTGACATCAACCAACGTGTTTTATTTTCAATTGGTCTTTGTTACCGCGCCGGCGCACTGGAAACCCCTGTGTTTCATTCCCTTTGCATGTCCCCTTGAGTCAGCTGTCTCAGATGTTGGAACAGCGCATGTCCGCGGAAAAGAGATGGATCGAATCAGATGGATGAGCAAATGCGCACAAAACCCTGAAGCCTAGCATCACCAAATGGAAAACTGAACCAAGAGCCTTGAGGGCATGGACTCACCTGAAATCTATCACCATGTGCTCTACATGCAGAAACATGCTGAAACACCCCGATTTGGCATTGACACTTGCAGCGGGCTCTCATTTGCAAAGTGGGCGAGCAGTCTTGCAGGGGCCCTGAAAAAAGAAAGTCACCCCCCCGCCGGGGCCAAATCCCGAGCCACTTCAACGAGCCACGACCAGAACTCATCCAAATGCTCGGCGGCGCGGCTCTGGGCGAAGAACCGTGCCTTGTCGGCCGCGGTCTTTTTTCGGAAAGCGTACCTGGGAGGAACATGGATTCTGGCGGCAAAATGGAGAGACGTGATCTCTACGTTTCGGTCTAGTTTGAGGAGCTCCGCTTTGTGGTCAATTGCAGTAGTCCTCTCAAATATCATGGATACGATGGAATAATATCATATGATTCATATCCGGATGGTGACCCTGCAGAGTCAAGTCCGTGGATGTTCAGCAAACACCCAGGTCCAACCCAGGTTTTTAAGGGTCTTCCCCCGGAGAAACAGCAGTGAGGTGAGTACCAAAACGACGGTGAGGGCCTTCCCAGGCGACCGAGACATAGAACTCTCAAAAAAACGGATTTTCCTGCCGCACGACGCCAACTGCGACGCCAAGTGGCCCGAACTGCCTCAGAGCTACATGGCACGAAATGGCCCGGACCAGTTCCGGCCGCACCACTTGCCTAGCGAAGTCGCCCTCTGATCGCGCATGGGTGAATGGTTGGAGTCAGAACACGGCAGGTTGCAAAGAGAGGATCTATGGCCGGGGACGTGATATCAAACGTATCAAAGATCTGGAGTTTAGGGCTTACACTCCTAGGAATAATCATGGAAGTGGAAAATTGCCACTTCGATTCCAGGGAGTGTAAGGGTTTTGTGGTATATATCGCTTGGATTCTCCAAAACGTTCCAAGCGAGTGATCCCCAAAAACGGATCAGACCGGACCCCTGTCAAAGCGGAGCTCCGGGAAGGGCGGCGGCGCCACCGGCGTGGTACGAAGAACGTACGGCCGATGGTACGGGTGATGCCTGGTTGGTCTCGAATGGTCTGGCAAGTCTCATCAAATCTAAAAGAAAGTCATTGCATATATCTGTTACATAGTTTTCTTGTTATGGTGATGTCTCAATCAAGACATGGATGGACATGAGTGGAATTTACATGACTTTATCGCGTTTTTGAGGAGCCCCAGTCCTAAGCGCATGTGGAACAAACACAACAGGTCAACCTCAAATTCTATATTCAATCCACCAAATCAATACAGCGTTGCGTTGCTTATTTAATTAAGGATAATTGATTATATTCATTAAGGCAACCTCAATGTTTTTTCAATGGGTTTGCTTGAAACGCTCCATAGACATCAATATGTTCTTTCTTCCCTAAGGAACAAAGGACGCTACTAGGAGCAAAAGGGCATCGCTACTAGGAACAAGTGCCTTACTAGTAGTAACAAGAAGCAATTAGAAACAATAAGTAAATTAGCATGGTCGACCTTGTCGGCAAGCCCGGATGGCTCACTCTCCCGCAGCCCCACTCTCCACACTACGAGCGTCATGTTGGTGACCCACTCGGTCACTTCCCCGATCAGGTCGCGGGGCCTCGGGACAGCTGTTAAAGCAACCTGGCCTGGAGTCGAAACCGGTGCCCCAAAAGGGTGTCCTTTTGGTTCTTCAATTCACATGACTTTTAATGTGTTTATCGAATGAAACATGCTACTCTGTTCCAAAGCTGGGAACGAAAACACGGAAACGGCGACGTGTGACAACAGCGGTGGGTACGCTGCAGAGGAAACAAATGCGCTGACCCAGTGGCTGAGGAGGCTCCTCGATGCTCTCGACACTGATGTCCACACTGCTGTCATTTCCAGGAGACGAAACAGTGGCCTGAGCTGCTGAGAAAGGCAGATAGCACCACTAAAAGGGTGGGACAACGGAAGACTGATGGGTGAATGCATGGCCCACCTTTGCACACCTTCCTTCCTTGAGATTCGAGATCTGTGAAAAACTGTGAAACGTAACTCTGCAACATTCTGCAACGGTCACCATCTCTTTCAGACTTTTCATATGCCTTCACCATTGAAACCTGCTTGCCCTCCTATTTCCACCTGCCCTGCCCACGTAGAGGTGCCTCGGTCCTACCGACCTCCCAGCCTACCGGGCACTTTCCCGCCATGGAACGTCCACAGCCAGCGCGTGCGAGGACTGCATGGCGGACGGCTTCTTCGCCACGCGCTGCCGCCGAGTACCGCCGCTACTCCGGGCGGCCGACGTGGGCCACTGAGCCGACGGCTCTGTTCGGCTCCCGTTGCGGTGCGGCCGACGATCGAAACGACGAAACAACGCTCGAAAACGCCGACGAAAAGGCCAGAAGCATGCTCCGTACCTGCATCACCTGGTTGATTCATTGCTAGGACGACCTGCGACCTAAGTGAGCGACTGGGATGGATTCGAGGGGAAAGCTCGTTCAGGCAAAATCCTGGCTGGGACAAATGCTCAATTTCCCCACCACAGTAATATAGACACGTTTAGACTCTTGACATCTCTTGACAGTCCAGTCTACGGCTAATGGTTAGCCGCAAACCGCCATCAAGCACACAAGCACCATAGGGGCTTTCTATTCTGTGACACTGTGGCCTGTCAGTCTGCTAGTGCAGAGCACGTGTGTGTGTGTGTGTCACACGTTCTCCAGCTTCCAGAAATCTTATTCTGCCATGCTGATTCCAAACAGAAGTGACACACTTCTGCCAAATCTGCCTGATACAAAGCTGGCAACCAAGCTACAGTACACACTGCAGCAGCAAGATCATATTTCCAGGTGTCAGGTGTCAGGTACTGTGTCAGGTGTATCGCACCGATACATGACTTCACTGCAGCAGGAGCTGAGAAGTCTGATTCTGACAGATTCTCCACCGTCGGCGACGTGTTTGGCCGTGCCAACAGCGTTCCAACGGCCGTCCCAAAATCATCCAACCTCATCCAACCTCCGATCTCCAATTGGGCCCATCAAACCTTTTGCTTTTTCATGATCTTTCATGGCTTTAGAAGGGTGAGGAGGAACGCGCATGCCAAAGGAGAAGTGGCTCTTCAAGCCTCCGTGCCGTTTCTTTTCCGACCGGAACGTCCGGCAGTAGGTGATGTGGTTTGAAGGTGTCTTAAGCTCCTCTTTATATGCAGGTCATGTTTTTCAGATTAGGGAATTGCTGGGGCAAAGGGGATGGACTCTTCGGGTGATACTTCCAGGTTATCCGAATGGAAATTCTTGGGACCCGGGTCCCCCAAACCTCCAGAAATTGCTACGTGTCGCATGTGCGGCCTTGGTGTCTCGTCTTTTTTGGCAAGACTGTCGACAATGATATGTTGATCATGTTGATAAATATAAATGTTGAACTCATCTGCTGCATCTTCACAAGGTTTCAGCTTTTCTCCATCAGCTGTCCCTCAGTTAGAACCTCTGCTTTAAAAGAAGCATCTCAGAGCATTCAAGGGGTCTCTGATCTCACCACCCCTTTTCATGGGTTGGGTCTCTGTTCACCTTGCTTTTGTCTTTCGGTCCAAAACTGTTTGACCGGTTCGGTCACTCTCCCCAAGAACACCCGCTTTACCCAGTCAAGCACTGGAAGTCAGGACCTCAGGACTCTCTTTTTGCCACAATTTCTGGGGCGGAGCTAATCTAAAAACCTCTCATCTTGAGAGGCAATTGTGAGACTGCTAAAACCTGAATGAAGTGATTTCATATGCATCGTTTGTACTCCACTATTGCATTGGAAGTTGTTGGGTGTGTTTCGGTCAATTATCTTCTCATGCAACTTGTTAGACTGTTAGATCATGCCGGGACTCTGGGATGAGTAGAATATAGTAACCGTATGATTATTTATCAGCCAAATGCATCGTGAATCAGTATCAGCTTTGAATCAATTATTGATACCTATATATATATAGGATCATATAGGGTATTACAGGTCCCACAATATAGTCCACGAGTTGTGGCTTTTAACTCATTCAGTACAGTAAAACGAGGTTACTTGGAGAACATCGGATCACGTCCCACCGAGAGCCACCGAACAAGTTCTCACCTGACAGCTCGCCGCTTCAATGAGGCCACCTGACCGTCACGACCGTCGAGGCTTCAGCGCCGTGAGGTCACGCCATCAACTTCGCAGCTTCGTTTGAAGCGCCGTTTCTACCATCGGATACCATCGGTATGAATCAAATGTCTTATAAATGGAAAAGCCCTCATTTGCTAAGAATCAACAAGGGAGGCTTAGCGGGTGTTTTTCGTTCCGAACACAACGGGTCCCCTAGGTTTGGTAGCTGGCGAAAGCACCGGCTCTATTGAACTATCTGAATCTATCTATATATACGTCCTTGCTCCTACTTAGTAGCGATGCCAGGAGCCCTAGTAGCTTCTTGTTCCTATAGTAGTAATGCCAGGAGCTACGTTCGTAGCGTCCTTGCACCGTTGGTAGCGATGCCCTTGGTTACTAGTAGCGAACATTGCTCCTAGTAGTAAGGCCAAAACAGCCCCAAATAGCGAACCTTGTAGTCTGTTTGAGCAACGTCGAAAACAAAACTGAACACACTTCTCCCTCCGATTCCCATGGGGGTTCACCTGATCGCCTCGGGAGCTCCGGTCATCGCCGGTCATTGCACTGCGGCTGTCATGGCAGCACGCATTTCTGGTTCACAAAGCCCCAAGCTTCAACTTCCACACTGAGCTTCGAAGCTGACACCTTCCTGGGATGCAAAAGAACTAACACCTTCCACCAGTGTGACTCGCTATGGTCAAGAAACTCCACGTCAATAGTCTTCTTTTGAGTGCTGTCCAGCAACAATCAACAAACACCAGCATATGATGACTTGGAGTAAGATGGATCCTGAGTACAGGTCATCAAACACTCAAGAACAACATATCGTATCCCACTCCAAGACAATACTATTGAATACACCTGAATACACCCTCCCAAATCCACAAAGCGCGCCTTCCTATCGCTCCGAACTCTCTGCCGGACCAACACCCGCTTGCTTCGCCCCCGCTTCTCAAACCGACTTCGGCAGTCGACGAGGACTTCAGTCCCGCCTGGGTGAGGTTCTGGAATTTCCTCCCCAGCGCGCGCCTGGACGGCGTGAAACGTCCCGTCCCGTCCGTTGGCCCTCCGCCGTGGCGTGACGGAAGTCGTCGCGGGACCCCGACGTCAGCGGTAGAAGTGAAAAGACCAGGGATGGTTCTTTTGGACTTGAAACAGTTCCATAGTGCAAAGGAATAGGTTGACTTGAAACCTGGTTGGAATGAAAAACACACGAACAGTCGTGAGTCGCAACAATAGACTGTTGATTTCGTTTTACATCTGTGAATGAAGAAGTCTTCCACCTGAAACGGAGAAAAACACTGAGTTAACCAGTGGTCTCATGTGCGAATATCCAAAGTGAAGAGAGGGGGAAAGCCTGGCCGCCTATATTCCTGGTTTTGGGCAAGGGTTCGTAACCTGGCAAGACAACCTGGTGTGGTGTGGCTACAAGGAATTCGTTTGCAACAACGGAAGACTCGCATCTGCCCAGTTGGATCTGAGATCTTCGATGACTTCCCCTCGGATCGTTACTCCGCTCTCAGCATGGGGAGGCTGTTTGGAGGGAACTCTTGGAGGGAAAAACTCAATGCCCCAACAAAGCTGCATGGAACATGGAACAATGTGAAACGTTCGGTTCAAAATTTGAAGAACTTTGAGAGCAAGCAAGAGGATCAACTCAAACGCTGCTACTACGGTCTCCGGACAACCAACCCAAAATATACACAACTCTGGCACAATCGTCCTAATCACTGGCATTATTAACAAAGTCTTCACAAATTTGATGGCTCAAGTCCTTTAGTTTTCGTATGGCAAATCTCATGCACTCATGGGGTCTCAGGCAAGCCCCCCACGCTTAAGTGGACCTTCCCCAGTCCCTGAACGACAGCGACTCCCAGCTACTCACTTCACATGTGGCTCTTGGGACTCTTGAAGTGTCTTCAGCCAACGAACCGATCCAACCGATCTCCAGCTCGGCTTGGCGACCCCCAAAGCCGCCGGGCCCGAGTAAACGCTTCGTCGAGTCCACGCTGGAGTCCTGCATGAATGGGCAAGTACAAGTTTGTGCTTTAAATTAACACACCTGTAGTTCAAGAAAAATGTAGTCTTCGACCCCCAGAAACATAATATGGGCTGTATCATGCTGTATCTCTGCTTTTCATCAAAAGATGAGGACCTCAGTCTCATGGAGCGCAGAAAGTTGGTTGGTACTTCCTCCAGTCAGTCCAGGTGCCACCGGTGCCACCACCCCCAATTGGACATACCAACTCACGACGTTCTGGGGACAAACCCAGAAGCGTGAAGTCAAGCCCTACCTGGCATTCAAACAACGAACGCTTCATCGGAAAATCACGTTTTATTAATCCGAAGAAGCACTCTTCTCCCTTCTCCCAAACTGCACTTGTAATCGGTGCATGGATAGATTGTAATCCAAACTGCACCGAACTGCACTTCTCCCGTTATTACATGAAATCGACCCACATCGACCCTGCACAGCCTGCACAACATCGCCCTGGCACGGCGCCCACTTCCTCCCGCGTGAGCGCCGGCAGGAGCTCGTCCAAGCGCTGCAGCTCTTCGCTACACAGCCTGCGCGCGCGAAAAGAGCAGGGCGCGGGCGGGGATCCGGTTGACGCCGAGAGTCAGAATCGGACCCAGAACGAAGCGTTGCGAAATAGGAATGACCGTCAAACAGAACTACTTTGGAGAAGACAGGCATAATGATGGCTAAGGGCCTGGGAATTCCATCAAGATGTCCGTATAGTGCAAATATCGCAAATATACAAGAACATAGTCGCTTTTGATGCCTGTTATGAACAGGTCGGAGGAAACCCAAACCGCGACCTTCTTGGTTATGCTCTCACCCAACCCCACCGATTGTGCCTCCTCACGCGCAAAAGTGTTCTTCCTAACATTCCTGATGTCAGTTTTAGATGGTCCAAGCGAAACCAGGCCTGAATTCCAACCTGTAGGTCTCACGAGCGGTGCGTGTCATGGCTCCCGAAGCGTTTTGTGCTACTCCCAAGAGTTCATCCCACCTGGGTGGTCGCCGCACGTGACTCGAGTTCGCGTAGTTCGAGTCGTCGGGCTCCAGCTGGAGGGAAGCCTGGAGGGTGGGCCCTGGGCGATACATGGATACCTCTAAGAACGAATGTGGGATGATCAGTTGATGATAATTGTTCTCCTGCTGATGAGAAGTTAATGACGATCTCGTTGTCGCGGTGGTGGCTTTGGGGTTGTCGGATGATGCTAATGATAATTGTTGGTCAGGACCTGATTCCCTCAGACCTGGTACTGGTAGAAATCCGAAAGTGTTCTGGTTGACAGGGTCCCCATGGAGATGGAGTCGACTGCCGATGATCTAAAAAGGGGTAAATATCCTCATCGTCAGTAACAGTGGATGATGGCTAGCTAGAAATACGGCCTTTCCCAACAAGAGTGAGAATCCCAAAAATGGACTTTGGTTGTCAATTATAATTGATAAACCAGCAAATAAGCTTAATTGATCGATCAGCCTCCATTTTCTCAGAGGAGTTGCAGGATGGATGCTTAGCACTAGCAAATGGTAGTGTTTTGTCTTGAAGCAACATCGATCTCAACCAATAAAGGAATAAATCAATTTTGTCTTCGACACTCTTGGTTTTGGCACACGAGATTGAGACAGAGATGGGGGAGGTGCAGTAACATTTACAGTATATAGGAACTAACTCACGGTTCCACTCAGTTCAACGTCATTGATTTTCATCTGAAGCACCAACCCGATATGACTCATGGGTCCAAATCCAAGAGACACTGGCTGTCTCTTCTCCACCTTCTCTCCACCTTCTCCATGCGCCCCGCGCTCGCTATGTGAACGAAGAACACGCGAGGTGACCACCGGAACGTCGTTGGGGTCCGCCCCGACCGTCGGCCGGTCTGTCTCCGGGCCTCGGTCCCGGTGTCCACGCTCTCCTCGTCCTCCAGGGTCGCATCCCCTGGAACGCGCGAAGGCTCGGACATGGCGGAACGCGGCGAAGCGTCGTCTGACTTGGCAGTCTGACTTGGAGCCGCACCAGTGGCAAACATCCAGAAAGAACAAACGTTTGGGACATCTTGGCACACCAAAGAAACACATGGCCAAAGATGGTCCCAGTGTTTTTTGTTATGCGGACACTGGTCTTCTAAAGAGGACAATTCCATGTTCAGGCGGTCTTCTTCCTTCCATCAATCAACCGTCAAAGCAAACCCTCTTGCACCTCTGATGCTTTGAGGCTTCTGTATGCTTCTGCAACAATTACAATGCAATTTTGCTCTGCCTCCCAAATATTGACCAGGACGTTGCAGGACACCAAAAGCTCTTGCAGGACACCCTTCCATCAGCCTTCAGGACCCTTCGTGCTACGTCTACTCACCCTTGACGGCTCAAGAGTTGATGCATGTACAGTGTCGCATAGACGGCTCAGTCAATTCCAAAGCGACCCGCCATGAGGGACGAAGCGACAACCAGTTCGCCACATCATGCCACATCTGTAACATGTAGCCAGTCATGTCTAGTGCGTTTGGTGGGTCCTTCGGTGCGTCACAGTTCGGCAAAGGTCGGTGACTTCTTCCAGACGGAGACAGGAAGAAAACACCCCAACGTGCCGAAATTCCGGGCGCAAACCGCAAACACACAGAGCTCAGTGGTCTTTTTGGAGATCTTTTCGACTAAAGGGGTTTTGTGGAGCAGTATCCTATCCCCTGCATATGGCCAAGACGAGTAGCACAACAAGCCTGGCTCTCCCTTAGGTCTCCGGCTGCTCTTGAAGTGTGTCCAGTGGTCTTGAGATGCCTCCACTGACAAATCCTCCATCCTACTGACAAATAGTGATACAGTGATACATTCATTCTAATCGGACTGAACCAAGTGGAGGACACAACCGCAGACAGGTCGGCATACATATACCAGTATGCACCATTTTTCCATTTGAAGCGCAAAGGAACTGATTCAGCCAATCCCAGCAGACCCCGATTGCGATCCGTGGCCCAGGCCTGTCTCGTAGTCGTTTCGCATGATCCGTAGCAAACGGCCCTTGAGATACTCCTGATGGGGGAACGGAAAAAGACCAGGGCAGGCCAGAACACCCACCCGCCCTAAGTAGCTGTGTGGGATTGACGATGACCCCACGTGATTTGGGGATGACCCACTTGCACCGTGATTTGAGGATTTCTGAAATATGTGTTGAATACATGGGAATGTGTGCAAAATGGAGGCTTTCACGTCTAATGGAGTCTAATGGAGGCTTCACGGCCAAAGCGACCAACGATTCATGACAAGTCTTAATTCTTGTCATCATGACTTGAGATCTGTGGGATGGCTCATGTTGGCTCGGCCAATACCCGTGGGGATGCGATCAGAATCCAGTTGAATCCATTCACCGAAGTGGTAGCCAGTTGTGCTGTGCCTATCCTTGCCGAGGAGGATTTGGACTGAGGGTGTCAGCGCAGCTCAAGACTCCTATAAAAAGCATGCTTTGACGTATCCCGCAAGATTGAACAGATTGAACCAAACAGACCCAAAACAACCCGGTTCGCTTTTTCACACCCTACCTGAACTGAACTGGCGTGTCTTTTTTCGCACGCGAACCGGTACGGGCACTTGCTGCCTTCTCCTTCTCGCGGCAGAAGCTATGGATGGCCCCCTGGAAAGATCGGAGATCAGAGCCGCAGAAACCAGGAGAGCGTCTGGCCATTCTGAAACCAGTGGATGGGACTGACTAACTACCACATCTTGGATGGCGCCGGGCTGGCGCAACGAGCCTCTCCCTAGTAACTCCTCAGCGCATGGGACATCCATACCACATCTTGGGAATTCCGGGCACAGATTCATCACGAACGCCTCAGTTGTTGGTTCAGATCTGCGACGAAATGAGTTTCGTTTGAAGACCAACGTAAGGGCATCCACGAGTATCGTCCAAAGGTGCTCGTAGCGGCAGCCCTACGTGCAAAGGGCACTTTTGTGAAAGACCCAAAGGTTTAATGCAATGTAGATGGTCAATGAGTAAACCCCCTACCAGAATGATTTGCATCTCCAGGCCTGACATGTTTAATTATGTTTGGTTAATCAACAGTCGACACGATCAAATCTATTCAAAGCTTCTTGGCCAAAACTTCACTCACTCCTTCCGTTGACGGCCTGAACTTGTCGAGGATCACCGGTAATTCTCCAAGCACCTCGAAAGAGCAACTTCAAGGAGGCAGGTTTTTCGCGGAAGGACCACTTGGTGGAGAAGTTCGAAGTCACAAGAAACACCTCACGTGTTATGGTCACTACCTTGATTTCCGGGTGTTCCTGGACAGCAGTTCTGGAAACGTATATCTTCTATCTTATGTCCATATTACTAAAACGCTCCACGTATGGAATCTATGCCTACATTGACATCTATGGCATATATGGCAGTCCCATGGAGCGCCCGGGATATGGACATACAATGGGGCGCCTCCTCGATACCTGCCTCCCCAAAAGAGTGGTAAAACATGGTAAAACGATCAGCAGGACTAGATGAGCCACAAATCCAACATCATACTGCTGTCATGAGCCGTTCAAAGGTCATTGTACTTTGCTATAAATAGGTTTAAACATGTGTCAGCTGAATGTGAGCCGATGATTGAACTGAAAGCAAACAAGAGGAAAGCAAGGATGAAGTACTTGAAACAAAAGGATCTCATTAATTAATTAATGCTTCGACATCTTTTGACTGTAAACACTCTATAAATACATGCGCTGCTGTTGATGATATTCTTATAAACCAAGGGTATATGTATACCGGTATACCGGGTCCGAACCCTGGATGTATTCTTTTTTCCACACCGCATAATTATCTGCAACTCCACACCTATCTTCGCTTCGACATCCCGCCTTGGGCAGGGAGGCGCCTGGATGCACCGTCATACGGTGAACCGAAGAGGCAAATCCTCCCGAAGACTTTCTCTCAGGAGGTATTTAAATCCCTACATCTCGTCCGTGAACAACGCTAGCAGCCGATTTCGCAGATCTTCTTGAAACACATGACCTTTGAAGAGCTTTTCCTCTTTCATCTGAAAGTGGTGAAGACACGTAAATGGTTCCAAAACAGATACAGGCATTGTATATACAATCTATATAGTATAAACCACATCAAAGCACACATTTCCTCTGGTCTGAAGTCGTTGCACAACAAAATAGGCATATACCACCCAGGTCCAGTCTTCCCTCTCTGTACATAGTTGTGATCGGCGGCACGAACGCTTCTACACACTTCCATTTAGGACGCAGGGTGCGCTGCATGTCGATATGCTCATCCGAGCTTCTTATATCATGTTGGAAGTGATGTGCAGCAGTGGTGCCAAATATAAATCTTTAAAGACATCCAAGGACGAGAAGCATCTGGCTTGCCTTTGCTTCCCATTTGCAGCTACGAATGGCGCTTGCATCGCAGCAGGGCATGTGCTCTCCACTCATCCACTTCGTCCCAACCGGCCTTTGAAGTACCACCTGAACACTTGGACTTCCTGGGAAAGACTGGCAGGGCGCTCAGGATTTGCCGCAGAAAGCATCTGAGTCGGGGAGAGAAGACGGAGCTTTCAGATCCTCTGTGGATTTTCATAGAGAACCGGGAAAGAAATACATGATCTTCCCTGGAAGAGGATATCACAGGGACAATTCAACCTCACATGAAGCCCAACACCGGGTTTAGGCTTCTCCTCCGATCTAGGTCCGGTTGGATTATTCTCCCCATCGACATGGTCAAGGTCTATGAGAGTGGAGATTCGTTGACTCTACAAACAGGGGTGTGGGTCAAAACCACATCCTAAACTATGAACGTTTGACATGACAAACATCAAGTTTAAGAGGAATCTCTTTGTTTTTGTCTGACCCGAAAGTCAAGCAGAGTTCCGCGGTTTTGACCCGGTGACCCACATGACCTGTCTATAAAGCTGGTGCAACCAGCATTCGCAAGTGTCACTGGTTTTTTCGAGGGCAAGGTGATGGGTTGGTGGCTCAGAGGGGACCGCAGCGTCGTCACGAGCTCGCTTTCATCCGCCACATCACGCCACACCCCGAATGAACGAACCTCCACGGACGGACCCAGCTCCCCGCGGTCCTTCCAAGTTCCTGACGGAGCTGGACTGGTTCGGCATCGAGGGGAGTACCCGGGGGAAGCGTACCTAGGTGAATGAGTGGGAAAACTGATCAGTTTTTGTTGCAGAAATGGGGGGAGTACAGTGCGTACAGTACCATACAGTGCCCAAATTTCGACAAATGCTGCATCTCGATTCATCCAGTTCTGCGCAGCAGTTCCACTTCTTCGCTGGCACCCAAAGAAGGGCAACATACACGTTCACTGACAGAAATGGAAGGTGAACATCTCCATGCAAACCATCTCCAACAATCCCCAGACGCTCCATGTATGGCATAATCTGTAGGCCGATCAGGCCAGGGGGTGGTGCCCAGCCAGGGGGGTCTGGGGCGGCAGTCCTGTGGCAGTCCCATTAGTTGTGTCTGCATTCTGGGGGTTCAGCGTGGTCCTCCAGGTGGGACCGCTGCCCTCGCCCGAACCCCTCCCACTCTGCCTACTCTGCCCCTCGCGGCGCCTGTTCTTGGAGGGCACCCGTCTGTTGGGTGCTGTGCTTTCGACCTGAAGGCAGGTGGAATTCTGTTGGGAGGCCAAAACCAAAGAGGCCAAGGTTTCCAGCTGTGTGAATGTGGTGGCTCTTTCTGGGGTCTTGAATGGAACATACTCAAAAGAACCCGTACAGTGGAGTGCCATTGCACTGGCTTTGAAACTGTTTCAAGGTGTCTAGACAAATCTACACTCACATGGTGGCTCTCGGCTTTTGCCGGACATACGCGACGACGGCTATCTGTCGTTTCTAAATCACCTCGACTCGTCTGAGGCAATCACATCATCTTAAAAACTCTTTAGTGGATCTACTTGGAACATGAAACAAGGCTCCTCAGCCAGCTAGCAGCTAGGGGTCTCTTGCTTTTGGTTATTCTTTCAGTTCTTTTATGTCGTTTCAGCCGTCTCCACCTTCGGCCCGCTGTGCTCCGAGGAGAAGCCGGACCTCGCGCCGATCATCGGCAAGTCGCGTGCGGATGTGCGGTCGTGCGGTCTCGTGCGGAGTCACAGGTCTTTGGAGTGGTGCGAGGCCTTTCTACTTGACGCCACTCCCACCCCACCACCTTCTCCTAATATATCTCCTTCTATGGTGCATAACAATCTTTTGAGACAAGACAAAAAAACTTGTGCCAATGGCTTCAATCTCTTGAGACAAGATGGGTTTGTATTTCTTAACGTGTGCCAGTTTAATGATGTAGAGTTAGGATGTTCGACTTAGGCGAAGCATACCCCAAAGCATGCCCTCTGAAAATGCTACTACTTTAAGCCTTGGCTCCACGCGAAGCATACCCCCAAGGATACCCCTAAAACATAGCCCACAGGCAATCATCCCAGCCCGGGAACGGCAATAAAAGCACTCCCATATTTGTGCTGCCAAATTCAATCGAATCTTTTTGAGACACTATTTGTTGAATTGCCTATATCAGCTCACCGGTCTGTTTGGAAGCAAGGAGGTAAGGTACATCTCCAATTAGAACCACAGCAAAAGCATGCAACAGTTATTTGGATCCATTTGATTCCTCTGTTCACTTAGTTGCCCAGCCCAGCGGTCATCCGTTGCCCAGCCCGCCGCAGAACGTTTCGGAGACCGAGACCCCCGGACTGATTGCTGCACTGCTCCACCTGCGACGGAGCGGAGGAGAGCAAACAGGTAGGGTCGACCAGAAACCGTCTTGTTGAGGGATGTCCTGGAACATCCAAAACATATCATTTTGATCCTGGAACATGTTGAAAAAGGGCTGGCTCTGTTTAAACGTTCGCAGCTGTTGAACATTGTGATTTGCGGTGTCGCGTTTGGGTGAGATCACCTGTAAAAACTTAAAGAACACACATAATATGATGTAGGGATTCCGGGAGGTCTTGTACTACCTCAACACTGTGGATCCCTTCGCGTTTGTGAGAAACACACGTGGAAGCCTCGAAAAGGGGCTTGATGTGAAAACACCCAAGTGCTCATTTAAACGGCTGAAAGCTACAGCTGGATAGTAGTTGAACGCATGATTGGTCACACCCCTTAATCTGAGCCCCCAAACAACAAAATAGTCTGCAAGTTCAAGCAACACCCAAAGAAAAGCACTATACAAAAGCTTATGCAGGCTTGCAGAAACACAGCTACACGTACAAAAACCATTTATTGGCGACATATAATGTCTATATGAATGAATGCAATGTCTAACTGCAGTCACCAGGACAGGCAACATGCATGACGATAAACAACAAGTTACGTCAACATGATAATATATGCACAGTGCCACATACAAACACCAAACACAAAATCATAAATACCGTGAACATCCGTGAAATTTGAAGATCCATAGACAACATCTTGAGCGAAACATAGTGTACACGGCACGCATATTATACAGAAATCAAATCGGTTCTATTTCATGGCTTCAAAAGGGTTGTTCATTCTTGCCAGCTGTGTCTAGCTAGATCGGTGTTGACTATTCTCTCTCTCTCTCTCTTTCTCCACAGCCTCTGTGCCAAAGCTCTTCTGCGAAGGGAGGCTGCCTCGGCAAACAGATCATGGCACCGCCGGTTGTTGGTTGGTCTACTACTTCAGTCTAGTTCAACATCTTCATTGGCTTAGTCTTTGTCCAACGGGTCATTCTCACAACTCTATGAAGAAACAGGTTATATAAGAAATTTGGACAGTGCTACTGAGTCTGTCTTGTGTCATGGTTACCCAACATCTGAGCTGTGCATGGTGGATGCGGATAATCTGCGGATGCAAACATGCATTGATCATTTCAACGCTTCAACTAGTTTCATCAAACAGGTTTCAAGCAAGTGTTTTCTACTTGTCACACAACGGCACATATCCAGATCGTCCAGGATTCCGGACTCACCTTCGAGCTCCTGGCTGGTGTCATGGCGGGGAATCCTTTGACTTAAGGAATGGATAGATGTTAGGATGATTTTAGGGATCCTTCGATGTTCCATGATGTATCAGTTTCCTGGTTTGGCCTGACCAAGAGTTAAGCTGTAAGGCTGGCTCACAGGTTGATTTTGTTTGTTGGTTTGCATTTAACACCAACGCCAACAAACATGAAGTCGCTCATTTTGCTGAGTTTTTTCCGGCCGCGCCTGAGCAAGTTGTAGGTCTCTTGCAAGGCGACCCAGTCCTGGAGCTGAGTCCGTTCTTTTCACATGGATGATGGATGCATCTTGAACAACGAGTGGCTCATTGAGGGACCCTTCTTTACTCACACCATGGTTACCATGGTCCACGCCACCGAACACTGAACATGCTCCACGCTACAGCACTTAGCACCGCCGGATCTGCGGCACATGGGGCATCTGCGGCTGCAACCAGATCTTCGCCGCTTGATGGACTCTGGATATGTCTCGGCAACAAAGCTCCAAGACAACGAGAGACTGAACCGCCCAGTGCTGCACCATCCTTTGAACCCCCCCCGGGGGCCAGTCCCTGACCATACCTCAAAGAGGATAAAAGAACCCTACCTTCAACATGAAAACATAACAACAAAAACCCAAAGCCTCCCAATCAACTAGTTTGTCTCCCGGGGACTTTAGAGGGACTTCCTTGGAAAGTCCACATGGTGACACCAAAACCCAGTTGCCTACAACAAGTTGCCTGAAGAACATCGGTCAGTATCATGGTGACGACCGCCAGCCCACTGGCAGTTGGAGAGCGCCCAAAAAGCACGGCCACTACGCCGCCAGGGGGTCTACCCACCGAACCTGAGGATATGGGACAGGAGCCCAAACGGGATCAACCATATCAGGCCAAAGCGGCCCATTCCACCCCGCCATCCCTTCCCTTCGCCCGCCCTGTGCCCCCCCCTGGCCTCACTGACTTCCCGCGCGGAGGTGAGCGCCGCACCTGAGGTCATGGGTGTGCCACGCAGCAGGGTGCGGTCCGTGGTGGACTCCGAAAACAGCCGGGGCGAAAAGACCACTGTAAGTTACGAGTCTACTCTCCAATATATAAGCCAACATGGATAGCCTGTGAGGTGATTAGTTGATTCCTAATTCATTCCACTTGGCTTGCCAAAACAAACAGCTTCCACTAGCTGTGGGCCGTGGGAAGATTCCCTGATGCTTTCTCATCCAAGTTCGGCACGTTCCTCCTCAGGCTTCCTGGCGCGTGAAAGCTGAAAACGCATGAAAACGCAGGCTCCTCTACGCGACAAAAAAGGATGGTGAATCAAAAACCGACGGTCATTCCTTGAGAGCTGAAGAATGCTAACAACGGAATCTCACCTGCGGCACTGGCAAGCCCCTGGCAAAAACGAACCATCTTGGGCTGGTGTGAAGTGTTGTCTCTTTTGCGTATTGACCATGCACAACAACAACACTTGTGTCTGTGCCAAACCCTTCGATCATTAAGCATCGCCCAACACAGGGGTGATGCAAAAACTGCGTGACTTTCAACACAGCCCTGAGATCGCTTCATCGTCCCACACCACACCCTGCGTGTTGAGCCGCATTGTGGCTGAACCGAACAGCTCTAACAATCCGCCATTGCCATAATCGCAGTGCTAAGATTCTACACCAGTTTCATTGGTGTTGTTGCTCTGGAAACCCGTCTTGTTGTTTGTTGGCCCCTGATGTGCTTCTTCATGCTTCTTCTCTCTGCTATTCTTGGAATGTTTTCTGAGACAATGTTAGACCTTTCATTGAGAAAACGTTCCCGTGTCTGACCTCGAGAGCCAAACCGCCCTATGGCATTATGGATGGCAAATCCAAGCTCCACTTCACGCCACCCAAAGTTCACCAAATCGACCACCAGGGTTGGTGTTTGGAGGGGTGTTCTGCGGCCACCAACCTTGAAAGAAAACGTTATTTGTAGTCGTCGTCTGTGTAGTCTTCCCACTGCACCTCTCCACCCCCATCTATACTCATCCCCCCATCTGCATGGCGCCAGAACCCCCCCCCGCCATGCGAAACGGCACGGCCGCGTGTCGCGGACGCGGCACGAACCCGCTCCGCCTGGTCGACTCCAGAAACTCCTGCACCAGCTCCTTGGCCTTTCCGGGTCGAGAGTCTGCGAGAGTCGAGTCTGTCCGTCCGTCTGGGACGGGACTCACAAATGGAATTCTCTGGAGTCCATTCCAAACGGATGCTTCGGATTGGATGACATCTATGAGATCATAGTCCTTTCGGATTCCAGTGGGGGTTAGTGAAATGCCTAGGATCTGTGTGATGAGCGACTCCTCTGAAAAGGGATCTTTCTCTGCCTGGGATAAGGATCTCCTAACATACGAATTGACCTGGCCCAAAAGAGATATTGAAACGAACATTGAGAGATGAACAAATGTTGCCCTTCTCATTAACAGAGACATGGACACAAGGCATAGAGGACACCTGTCTTGAGAAGGTCTCCATGTCAGCAACCGCAGACTGAGATATGTGTATTCAACAGACTTTTTTCGACTGACTTCTTCATGTCATCAAATACAGTAACTGCAAATCGTTTCGACATCTCATGTCAGTGCAAAGCACTGCAGGCCTTGGTGTCGAGGATACCTGCGGCAACCGGAAAGCACGTCCAGTCGTCGCTCCCGAGAAATACAGACTCTCCAGTGGACGGTCCACAGGTAGAATCACTTGGGTGAACTTGGGTCTTGTCTATGTGTTTTTTCAGGATGACAAACAGAACTTCTTGCCGGACGTTGTACAGGGTACAAAGTGAGGAGCTCCAAGGACGTGTCGTTCCCCTTTGTGGTACATCCTTGAAAGGTAACAAGGTGACTCTACATGAGAGCCCGAGAACTGCCGAGACGTGCCGAAGTACTGACGACTCCAAGCAGTTGGAGTCGTAGAGTCGGTTTCTGGTTACCGGGATCGAGCCTGGAAAGGAAAACATGTCTCTCGGGAGGCTCCTGGACGTCCCAGGTATAATGCAAGTTCGTTCTGGCGGAACCGGGCAACGAACAAGCATGCTCAAGCCTAATAAGCTGGGTCGAGATGCTTGAGCTGAAGCTGGTTACTTCGGCCAAAAAATAGAAGCAACGTTCTCTTGACCTGCGGAAGTTACTGTAGGAGTGCATCACAGTAACCGCAACAAGCAAGTCCATGAGCTTTTCCCATGCACCCCGTTCGAGATGCCTACTTAAGCCCTAGGCCCTAAGTATTTCCAGCAATCGCACTGCTACATCCTCATCTTCTTTGAGTGGAACCAAATACCATTGAAACATCAACGGAATCGACTTCAACGCCTTCCTTCTTGGCTCGGATCACCCTGGTAAAGTGCACCTCAAGGCACCATCAGGAATGTCTCTGTGCAGGGAATGGAATGGTTCCAGGCATTGACATTCAAATTTAGATGTGCGAACAGAAAACGGTAAATTAACTGTAGTGAACTGCACAAAACTGGAACTGGTCAGGTGACCTTGTGGTTGAAGCATCAGCATCTGGAGCCTTGAACTCTCATCCTGAAACCATTAAACCATCACATGTTCCTTCTGACCCATTGGTGTTGAATGCCATCTCTGTTTGTGTAGAACCGAAGAAGAGTGAGCCACCACCAAACCTAGGCCCCGGAGCGTGCTTGTTGAAGGCTTGCTCGGTCCGACGCCTCAACAAGTGTCGTTTGGAACCATGTGTTTTCAACAAGTTTCCCTGGTAAGGGATGCTGAAAAACGGAAGGCTAACAACATTGTTATAACCAACAAGAACAACTGCGGCATCAGCTGAAACAATTGCCTGACAACTTTCCGGTAGTTTAACATTTGTGGTGACGTTGCGAGCTTGTCTTTCTTCGATCCGATGTCTTCCTTCCTCTGACCCGTCAGTTCGAACCTTCCACTGAGGTACTTACTACGAGGTATCTGTATGATCTACCTAGCTTCTGAGGAGAATCTGAGGCACGTCGCTGGTAAACTGGATCAAATAACAATATCAATTGTATTCAATTGTATTGGTATACCGGTATACCTATTACAGCCCAACCCATTCAAAACACGCTGGACAATGCAGCCCATGGCAAATGAAAACAAACACATCAAATATCATACAACAGTTCAACAGAAAATGGACACCAACAACACAAACTCCTCCAGAAACCTCCCGCGACACGTCAATCCATGTATATATTTGGGTGTGGCCAGAAACCCTGTGTGGCTTTGGGTGTGTGATCCAAGCCTGTTTTTGCCCGTAGCCATTTCTTGTTACCAACTCGGCAACTCAGCAACTCCTTCGGTTGTTCTCACCCCTTCAGCTCCTTCGGTCCACAGGTGTCGCTGGGCCAAACCCTGCGGTCGGTGGGATGTCCTCGGGTTTTTGCAACATCAATGCCCACCCCAAAAGTACCTAAATTGAGGAATGCATTACTTTGTCCTACTTTTTTCTCAGAAAAGCTCGTTCAGTATTCAAAAAGGGTCAACCGTCCAAATTCAAGGTGAACCAATTCATCCTGCAAACCGGCGTGGAAGGTGCAATTTTCCCGAGCGGAAGCGATCAGAACCGATCCGGCCTCATCTTGGCATGAAAAATCTCCACCTGCGCGGCAGTCTTTTGTGTGTGACACGCGGCAGTCTCAGACTATGTGAATCCCCAGCACATGTGGTTTCAGATTTCACATCGACCTTTGTGGGCGGCAAAAACACCCAAACATTTGGGTCCACCGGGCAACGGTCAAGAACACCGATCCACATTGCTTTGCAAGGGACAACCTTCGGCAAGTAGGAGATTACACACTCCGAGGGCTGGATATATAGATGTCCGTAGCACTGAACCACGTAATACCATCATGGGCATAAACAGTCTTGACTCCCCGTTGATGACAAGCGATGAACACCAGCTGAACATTCATGCCAACACCGACAAAACACATGAACATCACTGGTGCAGGGTGGCTTGGTCGACTATCATGCATGGATTCTCTCATCATCCGCACCTTCTGCTGAGCATGGTCGTATTCGACAAAGTTCTGCACCTCACTCGCCACTCGGTTTCAGCGACCCCCGAAGCGCGGTTTGTGGAGCGAACGCGCAGCGAAGTGGAGTGAGTCGGTGGATGAGGTTGGAATGGTTGTGCTGTTTGGATCATGACTCAACTCGCTCATGTTCTCATCGCAACTCATCTTAGACTCTTCGCTTCTCGGTATGTTATCTTCCTCTGCATATGTTCTCTTCCTTCGCACTCCACACTCTTCAAACAGGATCCTCGGTTTACAACCAATGTGCCCAATGAACACCAACTTCACAAGGTACAGGAAACAGAAAAAACTCGATGCATGTGTTTGCATGTTATTGCCATCCACGCAAACAGCTTCCTGGCCCCAATGTCACAATGCACGCAACCAAATAAAGGGACTGGTAGTGGGACTGGTATGCTCGAGTCAAGTCCGAGTATGCTTCTCTCAAACTGGAAAACATCCCCAAGCAGGCATCAGTTTTGAGTCGATTTGCTGTATGCCACGCAAAAATGACCCAATCATCTCCAATAAACCCATCTGTCAGTTGTTTTTCTTTTTTTCTGGAACTCGCCTAGTTGCATGCTTCAGTGTCGGATGTGTGCAGGTTGAAACCTCGTCACCCTTCTGTCCCCGGCCCGCAGCATCGGCGCTTACCGCTCCGCGCGCTTCATGACCGCGCCGCTCCGTGTTTCACTTTTCCCCCCGCGCGCGTTCGACCGCTCCGCTGGGTTCGACCGAACTTCCGTCCCCGCCTGAACTTTGGCCAGCTCATACCACTCCCTCAAGGGGAACTCCGTCTCCATACGCCTGGCACCACCGGAGTAGAGTAGACGGAGAGGTCTGCTGATGTAGACTGAAAGAGAGGGCAAAGGAGTAGGGTGTCCCAAGTCGAAATCGTGTCTGGGGAGATTGTGTGTGTACGATTGTCTTTGGCACAAAGGTTGGGTCCCTTCGTGTCCCTTCCCATTTTTGTTCAGAGTGTCAAGTCCATTTCTCGAATGAATGAATGCAGTTGGAACAAGCGTTCCTCAATAAGGTTTCTGTTTAGTGCACGAACCCAACAAGTGTACAAAACACTTGTGTTCACAACCCATTTTTTGGGGAAAAAACTTTGGCAAAACGGTCTTCGCTTCGGATGAACAAGCGAATTCCTTGCTACCCATCATTCAACGTGCCAGCCAGGCTGTTGCAACTGTCGATAGGTCAAGGTTCCTCAGGCGAGAGAGTGGCAATGTCGACGGCAAACAACTCATGCATTGGCAAACATGACTGACCTTTAACATGTTGAGTCTTAGTCATCCTGGAATGGCACAAAAATGGTATAAACTATTAAGCTTTGGACTATATAGACATGAAAAGGACATATGTTGGCATATGAAGAAACCCTTGATGAGACGACCCCACGGAGCGAAACTGTGGCCCCACGGATCTGTGGTCCTCCCGGAGGGGACCAAAAGGCCCATCCATGAAACACCAGGTACAGTTTTAGTGTCGAGGACCCACGGCAGTAAACTGACTTTCATGGACCCCCTCCCACAATGTAACACCTCGGTTTCCCGTTTTGTAAGACAGCATGTGGGAGGGTCTCCAATGGATTTTCAGGTGAAGGGGTGTATTTGGAACTCAATGTCTATTTTTGCTTATACCATCTTATACCTCTATCCTTCACGTCTTTCGGTTATCCCAGAAAGGACCAACAAACCACCACAGATTGCTGAGTTCTCCCGCGAAAGTGGCACACACTCTGCGTTCGGACCTCACTCGTTGGAACTCTCTCGGGCTTCGGACGGCGCGAGGCGAGGCACCGACGAAGACTCGCTTCGGACGCGGACAAAAGCGTTGTATATACTATACGTAGCGTGAGATGATGTACTTAGTGGACGAAGATCGAACACGGGGTACCCTGGAAAAAAAAAGACCTGTTCAACATCATAAAACAACTTGGAGCATCCCATTGCAATACCATGTGTGTGGTTCCTTCCAACATCTTCCAACAGTCCGTGGAGGGTGTAGCATTCACGCAGTGGATACATTGCATTCACTGAAAGGAAGGCGAGACCTTCAAACTTTCCTGGATACTACATGGTAATTATACACTTCATTAGGTGTGTGAGATTTGATTGATATTTTTGGGTGTGTTGTATTTTAGAGTTGCTCCATCTCTGTGCAATCAAAAAAGATCACCTGTCAGTTTATTGTTTGGGCAACGTCATCAAGTATGAAAGAGGAAGCCGAGAGCAAACCGTGGGCTTACATGCCCAGTTCACCATCCTTGCAAACATGTTAGGCCAATGCGTAGATAGAGATATGAATTGTGTACGATATATAATCCTTAACCACAATGATGTGCCTACTCTTCCTTTTCACACCAGCCCCCTTCTCAAAAAACATGAACACCCTCCAAGCGAAAAAAAAAAAAACACACACACACCAAACAATACATAAATACTAAAACGGGTCTCCCCGGCCGTCAGGGGGTAGCGCTTCGCCAAGCCCAAGAAGTTCGCCCGGCCAATGACTTCGCCTTGCACCTCCGGGACCGAGCCGACCGGTCCGCCACCGGTCCGCCCCTCAGCGGTGATAGACATGGGAGGCAGCCAAGGGCCAAGGTGGGGGGTCCCATTTCTGGTTGCTCTCGTGGGTCTGTTTGATCTCCCATTTTGCTGCGTCTTCCTGAAGCTGTCTGAGTCTGGATCTTGTGAATCTTGTGGTATCTGTGTTGTCTTAAGCTTTTCTTAGAAACCTTGCACGACTAGGTCCAGCAGTTGGCGGGGCATGGGGTGATTGCTTATGAAGATCTCTCTTCCCGGTAAATCTCATTTGAAGCACCTCGGGATTGATATGTACTTGATAAGACTTCTTGTCTTGCTCCTCCACATTTGGTCGGTCACAATGATTCCACGTGTTCTGCCCACTTCAACAGCAAATCAAATTTTGCACCCACCTGCATCCCTTCTCCCTAAGCAGAAACCCATCCATCCTTCTTCCTTTCGTGTCTCGAAACATCCGCCACTCGCCAAAGAGCCAAAGGATTTCCCAAGACCACGTCGTCCACCACGCGGACGGCGAGACCTCTACGGCATCCGACGGTGTCGACGGAACGAACCGTCCGATGTCGAGACTCGCGTGGCGGTGAACCGCATCGTCCAGACGTTGTCGGGGTCTGCATGACTCGATTTTCGATGGATGAGCGAACATTCGGCCACAGAAAAAAGTCGTTTGGTATGGAATGATGCGTCTGATGATGGACTTGTTGGATTCGTCGATTGAGACATACTGTATTGCATGCAGCGCTCGGACGACTTATACCTATGTGTGGAACAGTTTGCCTACTTGGGGCATATATTATATTCCATGCATGGAGTCTGAAAGTAGTGCTTTATGATATGCCTTTGTAGTGAGGACCCAGGCCCCAGGCTACTACTCCTGGCTGCAAATGTATGAGCAAACATGCAGTATAGATTCCCAGGAAAAGAACGCCTAGAGCAGTAAACCATGCAAATCGATACGTTCATTGGCAAAGCTCTTTTCTTGGTGCTTCCGATTCTTAAAGGAAGACTGAAGAGAAGTGCTGGCACCACCTGGAACGAAGCACCGTACCTGTGGTGTTCACTATCCCAATTCCTATCCCAACTGGCACCTAACCGACGTCTCTCGTCCAACAACTCTCTCAGTTTCCCAGGACAATAAAGGTTAACTCCTCCTTCCATCTGTTGTTTAGTGGGGTGTCCCCAATCCCCCAAAAAGTTTTGCAGGTTATCCACTTTTCCTGGGTAGGACAACAAGCGTGGCTCGCCCTCGGCATGCGGGCCGTAGCAAAGTAGATGCAAGGCATCACCCTCCTTGTTCTGCCTTTCATCGCTCGAAAGGAGGGATCGGGGTCTGGCAAGTGTTTCAAGCATGGCGCCAGGATCTTGCATGGCATCCAGCTCAGGATGAAACAGGTTTAAAAATAACCTAAGCATAAGTGGCAAAGTGGTGAAAGCTGACTTATATTCTGCCTATCATATATTTCTGCCGAGACTTGGTAGAGCTGGCGCTGTCCATGTGTCACTAGAGAAAGCAGAAAAGGGAGCCACTACGTAGATTTGCTTCAGAAAACCTTATCCCCAAGAAAATGTTCAATGTCAATGTTCCCGCAGTATAAACACAGAATCACAACAAATCAACCCTATCTTTAAGCATACCTAGGGTTTGGACTCTTCAAAGCCGCCGAATGACCCCGAAGGTCCCGATGTTTCAAAGTCCCAAAGGTCCGCTGGGTCCGAGGCGGGTCCGAGGCTGTGTAGGATTTGTTGGAAGAAAGACATGATGGTTCCAATGATCACTGGTTTGTTCATTGCTTATTGGCACCTTATTGGCACAATATGCTTTCCAAGATCATTTCAACGATTCAACTGACCCTTCACTCCTTCATTGGAGTTATTCCATTTATGATATGTTCTATAAGAAGCAATGAGCCGTTGGAACAACCATTCACCCACCGGGTACCCAAAGCAAAGCACTGACGCCCAAAACCGGTGCCCACGTGCCTGACGACCGTGCGATCAGCCATGTGCATGGTCCATTGGGAGTCCTCTGACGCAGCGAGGCCTTCACGGGGCTTTTGACGTGTCCATTTCGATCGCCCGCCTCTCCGTTTGTGTTTTTGCTGAACAAAAAGCAGAGAAAGAACACACGCCCACACACACGCTTGCGACCGAAGACCGCGCGGGCGGGCGGGTCCTCCAAGAGTGAAGCGAAATGACTTTGGCTCATGCCGCTGAGGAAGGGAACTTGAGATGCCTGCGGAAGTGCCAGGGTCCAGGCTGGTGTATTTTTGCTCCACGAAAAAGAGGAAGGTCCCCACATCCTTTTGGAGTGGGGACCATGAAACCTGTTGGGAAACATTGAAATGTCCCATCTGCTGATCTAAATGTATATTCAGTTTTTATTTGTAGTTGTTTGGCAATGTCTCAACAAAGCGTTCTATAATAGCTTGTTGGGCCTGGTTAGTCACTTGGTCGGCATTTCTAGGAGTCTGGACACTTTGTGTCGGTGGCCGGTGGCTCTAAGGCTTAATCCTTCTGAGCCGAGGACTTTTCGTTTTCGTATGCACGCTGGGCAGTCCTTGCATGTCGCTAAATGGTGCGAAATACATCAAATTCAGTAGTTGAATGACTTCTTGAAGAACCACGAATCTCTGCAACAAACCATCCGACCCGCTCCAACCTCGGTCACAGCTGCTCTTCCTGTTCCCCCTTCCTGTCGTCTCCGACGGAACCGGAAACGGCCCGGTCCGTCGATGGAGGGGTCGCCTCCAAGGGCCACAGGATGGAAATGCGCGAAACCAATGGAGGCACCTCGCGCGAGCAGGTCGAGCTTCCAGTCGCGTGGAGGCCGTCAGGCACCGCGACGACTTTTTTCCTTGGGAAAGCATCGGGAGATGCTCTGGAAGTGGATCAAATCTCTGGCGACGGAGGGCCAAACCTTGGGAGATGGGAGATGGGGAGGTTCGCCCCCCTTGTTACCTCTTTCCATTCTGAACCAACCAGGGGGGCCGACCCAAAGCATAGATCTTGTCCAAGTCTCATCTCTTGATATATCCTGTCACGGTTTGGCGTCTCTTCCCTCTAGACTCTAGCACCACACTGTGTGGAAGGGCTTTTTTAGGGATGGGAGCCGGAGCGCGAGTGGAGTTTGCCGGAAAAGAAGGTTCAACGCCCCCTGTGGGGCCTGGCTGAAAGACAGGAAGACATTGGAAGACATGGGAAGACTCTAGAGTGAACATGAGTGAATGAGTCTGAGTCGTTTTGGTGTGCTTGGGTTGGACCCACACGCAGATGGGATCTTCAATAAGACACCTCTGAAGATTCAGATTCACAGGTCTTCCTCTGAATTGGTGAGGAGACATTACCCATCCTTCCAGCACCCCAAAATGGTCAGTAGTTCATTCCACGGCCCTGTACTTCGACTTCACAACCTTTTGTGCGCCGTTCCCAAGCCAAGCAGAAACGGTTTTCACATGCTTTGACATCCCCGCCAGATCCCTGATTTATACAGGTGGTCCACCTACAGGGAAAACACATTAACCTCAGACTCAGTAGAACCAGGGATCTTTGGACCCATCTGAGACCAAGCCATGTCGAACCCGCCCAAATCCAACGACCTCCTCGAACGAAAGATCCGGTTTTGGTCCATTCAAATGGTCATGGTCGCACTTGTTGGTTGTACGTGGGGGTATTCCGCTCTATTAACCAAGCAGTAAAAGACCATCAAAGCAAACGCTTGCCTTGAGCGAGACAAGGTGGCGACAAGGTGGACATCCATACTCTATACATTCTAGTCCATATAAGATTATTCATTTTAGGTCATAGATAGCCATGGTTTCCAGCTGGTCTTGCTGGCACCCTGCCCCCATTCTGCAAAGGGTTGATTCGATTCATTGATGATATTCTTAAATTCAGAGGACTTCCCCCGCCCTGGTGTTTGCACCAGGCCATGCCGGCAAGCCAGGCCGCCCATGCCGTCCACCTTTCTCCGGGCTCCCAACCCTCCGGTTGACTTCGAATGCCACGCCGTGGCTTCTCTGGGCATCGACTGGGAACTTCGGTCGCCTCTTCGGGGAAGTTTTGCAAGATGTTGATGAAGTCCGTGTCCTCGTCAGATGTTGAGTCGTTAATGGCCTGCTGAAGGCCAGGATCCTAGATCGTCGTAGAAGATCCGAGGATCGTAACTAGATGTGATTCGACCCCCCCTCCCATCCCTCCCCCGAAAACGCTGCACACGCTGAAGGTACAAAGACTGCAAGTCAGGATTCTACATCTCAAGCAGTTGTGGTTGTCCGTTTTTCAAAACGAGGAATTGACGATTGTTGACATATGTCATATATGTTTACAAAACCCACATGATCCCACATGATTCATGATCATCCATTCAAGCACTTTGCACAACAGATTTAGCTCCACAGCATGTCAACCATGACACGGGCCCAGCGAACAAAAAGCAACCCTCCTGGATCTCTGTCACCGCGCAAAAGTTGTCCACCATCACCTAGAATCTAGAAGCAGCGGCCAGTCTTTGTGAGACAATATTCCGCACATTTGACAGTTTGACAATTTAAGGGGGTTCAGGGAGAGTCATGCTTGACTGCATGGAGGGTTTCGGTAGGTTAAGCCAGTCTCAGAGTTGAGGGGCTGAAGACTTCTTGAGGGACTCCCAAAGAAATAAAGCCGCCGGTTTCGATGAATAGCGAAGACCCAAACAGGGCAAACAACTAATGGTCTATGTTATCGAAGTTGCCAGGAACTAGGAACTTACCTTCATTCTATAGTCTATTTTGTTGGATCCTCCTGTCCGACACAGCAGGCAGTACAAGATCTGGAAAACGACCAGATGGGTTCAAGCTACTTCCTGATCAGGTGCTTGGGGTGGGTCTGTCGCTAGCTTCGGACGTGACGTGGGCCAGGAGCCCGGCCTGGGCGCCTATATTATATGGTTTGGGGACATATCATATCTATAATATAGATGTCTTCCAATTCTCGGAAGGACGTAAGAGCTGACTCAAAACATTCAGGTGTTGGATGGGCAGATGGTCAAGAAATGGACCGTCGTCTAGCGCGGTGCTAGCGCGCATCTAGCGTCAGCCTAGCGGAAAAATATCCGTCGATTTCTTCATCCTGTCAGGTTCTTAGTTTTCCTGCTTGCTTGTCTTCTTCTTGTTGTGCATTATTCTTCTTATTATATACTTTTTTTAATACTTATTCTTATTCTTATTACTATTCTTTGTTTTTCCTTTTTCTTGTGTTGCTTATTATTTTTCCTGCTCTCTGCTTGTTTCTTCTTTGCTTATCCTGTTATGAAGAAACCTAGCGCCAACCTAGCGCCAATCTAGCGCTGCCTTGCTGTATCACCATAGTCTGCTGGGGGCCCGCTTCTAAACGAAGACTTAAAACTCATCTCCAACCCTAAAAGTTTACGTTTATCTAAAATTTTTGAGTAGGGCTTTTCGAGTGCATATATCTATCATCAATCGAGTCCACTGGACCTTTCCCAGTTCCTTTGTCACCCAGAAAAGCGCCACCCCACACGCCACGAACGCCACGACGTTCTGCAGTTCGGGTGACGTTCTGCGGCGCCCATGGGACCAAGCCCAGCACCACATCTGCGTTGACCTCGGGCGTGAAACACGGCGGCGCAGTTTCAGCCCGAGAAGGCACGCGTGGCAGAAAGCTCCCAGGTGTCAAAAAAGAAAGCAACTTCCAAAGGAAAACACATGTGGTGACCACATGATGTGGTGCATGACGGTCTGTGAGGAAGAACCCCCAGTTTGACCAAACATGCACACCCGCTGACTCAGGTTTGTGCTGAAATCACTGCGCCTAAATATATGGTATGCATAATTTCATGTCCTTTTCCCAAGCTCGCTGCGAGTAGCTTAACAAAGGCAGAAGGTCCTATCACACCATCCAGCTGCTTTCTTTTTCAAGTTGAACAAACTCAGATCCGGACGACGTCCCACTTGTAGAAACGCCTCGCGGGTGTGTCGAACCATGTCATTTTAGTGTGTTCCAACCGTGGAATATCAAACCCCTTGGGCCCCTCCCAGCACTCACTGGAAAAGGAATATGTCTTCGGCCCTGCATGCATCTGTGAAAATCCATTTCGCCCCCCTGTTCCCAAACTCCATTTCCACGAAACACCTGCAAAAAAGGTCCGACCAAGGTCCAATCGGATGCTTGGGGCGAAGTCTTTCACTCCTGTTTCCATGTGGCGCCGGAGGCGCGCCACTCGCGTCCCACTCGCGTTCCCGTCCGCCTCTCGCTGGCCATCCTGGGGCTCTCGGTGCCAGGCCTGTCACGTTCGAGTTCGGCGGAGGAGTTCGAAACGTTCGAGTTCCCAAAAACAGGGAGACTGTGTCTTCAGTCTCTTCCTGGGTGTTTATAGACATGTTTGTTTAAATGTTTTTACCTATCCCATCCGGCCGGATGTTTGACTTCAACTTCACCTCCTCTGGATGTTTGACTTGACAGCAAGTCAAACAAAAAACACGTGACCCGTGCCAATATGTGATGGAACCAAGAGCAAGTTGTCATAGCAGCATTTCCTCATTGTGAATGTTCATAGATTCTTTTCTCATGTCACACCTCCACCCGGATTTTGTTACCTCAAATGCCGAAAAAAAGGTACCTTCCTCACTACTGGAGCCGCTCCGGATGCTCTTCCGGCTTGTGCATGTTTGAGGCAGGCACATGCTCCCACGTCGATGCGGATTGCGGATTCGGAACGGAACTTCCGGACCATCGTGCGGATTCGGACGGCTTTCGTCAGCCTTGACCGACCTGAGACTGTGAACAGATTCCACGAAAGCTTTCACCACCTTACATGATGACCAACCCACGATTTCTCTGGACAATTTCTCAGACTTTCCCTTTCCTCGGCGGGTGTGGCATTCCTTCCATCCTAGCCCGATGCCACGAGTTGCGGATTCGTCAAGCTCGCCTGGGCCGGACCACCTCCTGAGATCATCAGTCCCAACTCCATCCAAACCGCGGCGTGGGGGTGAACACTACATGGCAGGAAATCTGTCAGATCCGACAAGGAAATCGCGGATCGGCTTGGTCCGTGTTTCACACGTCACAGTCTTGGGCGACCAACGTTGCATTGAGAAAAAGGGGACAGCCTTTGTCCAAGGATTGGTGACTGTCTACCTCAGGACATGTTCAATGAAGTTCTGTGTATATAGACATGGCCCTCACTATGTACACACGCGTGCTCTCAGCCTGCATTCTTGAATGAACGCCTTATTGTCCAAATGCTTCACATCCCATCCTTTCCGTTTCGACCGAAGCCGCTGAAGCCGCTGAAGCCCCACGGACACGTCCCGCCGCACCGCAGCTCGAACGGCTCCTCGGCCACCGCCGACCCGCTGCGAACCACGCAGAGCGATCCTGGAGGAATGAGGGAGTGGGGAGGAGTGATGGTCAGAGTGGGCGATGTTCAGTGATTTTCAGGTTTTTGTTCAGCGCATGTCATAAATCCCAGGCAGTTGGACAAATGGCATCCAATGGCTCCCTGGCATCCAAATTGAACATGCAAAGAAATAGTGTGATACGATGAGAAAACCAAACCCAAATCCAGCGCTCCATCCCAAAACACTAGCAAGAAACTACTTTCAGAATATGGCTGATCATGAAAGCCTATCACTTTTACCTAGTGACCTGCAGTATTTAGTGCACAGCTCTGCGATACGACTTTCAAGAGAATCATACGACTTACAAAGAAACACAGTGAGTGATTGAAATTGAAAGGGCGATCTCCTCAAGTTCATTAAAATGTGATGACATGTGTGCGTTCTTCTTCTTCTTCTTCAGATGTGGTGGTGCATCACTTCCCTACACCACCTTCTGATGTGGAGTCGTTGAAAGGTCGAAGACGTTTGGGCAAAGCGTGGAAGGTGGAAGACGTTTGGGCAACGCCTGGCGTATACCAACACATGTTTTTCTGCATGGTTTGCCGGTTTGTCAAAGCCTCCCATCTGCCACTCCATTTTAACATATGTTAATCATTTCCATGCATTTACATTCTGATACATCTTCTCGCCGTTGTGACAATTGTGACATGTCCCTGTAACGTTTCAAGTTCCACTGGTGCGGATGATTAAAACATGTTCAGCATACGATGTCATCAAACCTTGGAGACCACCATGTTATCTCTTCCCCCAAGGGTTCCAGAAGGAACATGAGGCCGTGACTGCTGCTGATGTCCGGGACCACATGGCGTTCTATCTGGAATCTGTTTCAAATGAACACTCTCAATTCCCCATCTTTCAATCAACTTCTGATCCACCGTAATTAGTGCTTAAGCGATTTCGCAGCGAGTGCCGTCTGTCCTCGGGTGGAACTCTTCTGGACCAAGCATTCCTTGGACAGCGTCAAGTTTGCCCAATTGGTGAACCCGTAGTGAAAACGTCCTGCAAGGTAAACCAACAATGTACTCATCATTGATTCAGGGATCATCAGAGATCCGTTTGTGAAGGGGTCTGACAAGTACGGGCGAAAGGTTTGCATCGTTGAAGATTGCGCAACGACGAGCTTCAGTTCGTGACCCTGGCAGTCCCGTGCAAATCATGCGCACCTTCCCCATTTTCTGAAAAACATGCGGCATCGATCAAATAGACAGATTACATGCTAGACAAATTACATATCAGATCGATCAAATAATGTAATCGGATGTAAACTGTAATGTAAATAATATATAAATTTATAGGGATTTTATAGAGGATGAATCCACCTATATGTAATAATCACATAGACAGATCGATCAGTCTTGCGGTTGGCAAGACTACGGCGCACCTGCACCTCACGGGGGACCACGAACCCCCCAACGACGGCACGGCGTCGTGCAGTCTCGATGGCAAGGTGCGGAGACTCCTAGAATTCCTTTTTTTTTGCTCTTGTTACTAATAGCTTTTTGTTACTACTAGTAAGGCACCTGTTACTACTAGTAAGGCACTTGTTTCTATTAGCTTTTCTCCTAGAATGGGTTGAAGGGACCATGGGGAAATCTGTAGATTGTTCCAATTCAGGGAAAGAATATGCGGAATCCGAAACTGCGTTTTGTTTTTTAGATCGGAAACTGGTCACGCCACGCTGGTTCCTGTCATGTTCAGAACGCTCCACTGGAGCCGCGTATACTTCAGGCTGCTGAAGATCTAGGTCGCCCTTCATGTCGAGACACGTCGAGCACAAGCAAATCCAGGTCAACTTATAATCAGCAGGGTATACACCCTAGAAAACTCACATGGAACCTGAAAAACGAGTCATTCCAGTCTGTTCCATGCCATCAGGTTCGGTCTCTTTCCCAGGTGTACCTCCCTCCACCGTACCGGTCCAACCCTCATCGCCCAGTCGCATTTTCTCGCAGCAGTCGCGTGGTGCACCGCTGCGCCAACTGCCAGGATCAGGTGCTAATCTTTGTAATTACACCCATTTTCTCCTGAGATGAACCTCGCAAAAACAGCCCCCTTTGCTTTGAGATCAGTATGGTCCATTGCAGGATCGACTTCATTTTGTCAACGTGTCTCAGTCGCATCCTGGAGTCTGTTGAAACGTATCAGGCAAAAAGCGAATTGACTGTCCAAACATATCCAAAGCAAAGCTTCCGCCTGTTGCTTGAACTGCTCGGAACAGCCCTCCAAAATGGGCACCTTCTCCAAGGCCTAGGGCAAACCCACGAGTGAGCGTGTGTGCTCTTTGGATTGTGATGGTGGAGTCTAACTACAGTGCAGTAGGGCCGTCCCTGCGTGGCCCTCCGAAAACTAGTCACAAGTTGAACTATATAGATGGTTGCTAACCTCATCGAACATGATTCCAGTCGGCTGGAACTTCTAACTTACTTTATGGGGTACTTACTGACACATGTCCTAAAGCCTTCGAAAACAGCCTTCGGTCGGGTCCATGCTTCTTTCTCTCCCGGTCCATGCTGCCCTCACCATGGACTCCATGGATCAGTTCTTCCTTCTTTCCTTGTCACACTGAACGGAATGAGAACGGCTTGCTGACTGCTCCCAAAGATCCTCCGCCATCCAACAAGCTGGACCAGCAGTCACAACTAAGGGGTGCGATCCATGGAGGTTAGAGGTTCCCATGATCCACTGGATGGGACTAAACACCACCCCTTGGTGACTGCTGGGAAACATACATACTCTGGAAAAAACGATTGGACATGAACGATGGAAGCTGAAGACTCAGAAGGAGCTCATGGTCAACTTTCTGGCCGTTCCAGGTTTAAACCTCATGCAATATATAATTACTGTACAAAATCCCACCTACCTCAGAACATGGGAACCTATTAGGTGCGCCGGGCAGGCGAACTTAACAAATCCTGGCCGCGTTACCTGGCTGGATCAGATCTGCACCGATTGTGTTGAGTGTACGGTGCTTGAATCCCAGCCCCCAACGGAAGAGGGGCCGGTTCACACGGTATCTCCATATCGGCCGTGTTTCCTACATCCGGCTGATGAAAAACAACACGACCAGAAAACGTCCGAAAACAATCGGATTCTGCCAGCTTTTTTGGGGGGCTCGGTTGAGTGGTGACACTGGAGAGATCAGGAGAGTTTCAGGTTCTTTGCGTTGGTCGAGGGAACGACAGCTTCGGGACAGATGCGTCCGTTTCGCATCTGTGAAACGAGCGGAATCCACGATCAGCTACGATCAGCTACGTATGTCCACCGCTGATGATCTTCAAGTGTTGGCATTCATCGAAAGAAACGTGCACCAACCGGAAGAGTTCTTAATCCGAGAATGTCAACGTACTTAACATCTTCAGAACCCTCGTCTGACTTTGCCTCTATCAAAGAATCGAACAACGGAACCGTCCTCTGGGCCTCTGGAACCACAGGTTCGCTTCTGCTGTCTACCACAATGGATGGCCACATGTTCGCCTTTAATATTGGGAACATCCCAGATCCTCCAAGCCTACATGGCCACGAAAGGCCCCCAAAGGCCTCCGCCAAAGGCCTCTTGCCAGGCACGCAAGTCCCCTGACACCCTGATACCTCAAATCAACACCCGTTGATGTTGAAGCACATCCAACCTTCCACCCCCTGACAGTTTTGGCAAGAAATTAAGCAAAACATGAAAACATGTCCATCAACTCCCCCACAAACAACACAACAAACTCCCACGGGGCTGCCAAGTCACATTTTCATGCGACAGCAGTTTCACCTGAGTTCAGCTCACGGATGTCGAAATCAAAGTGTGGTAGTTCTTGTTGCGATTGGTGCAACAGTTCTCAGTGGTCATGGTTGCAATTGTATGTCATAAGTCATGGTTCTTCTTGCTTCAGGGCTGGTCATTGGTAGCATTGTCGCATCAAATGAGGAGACCCAGAATCAGCCCTTTTTAACATGTACATAGAACATCATACAACCAGGTCCGAGCTCCTTGAACACTAAAATCGTCTGTGTCCACTCATGTTGCCCTTGGGCACTCAAGTGGTTTTCACGGCGCTGCTATGTCTCTATACAGAAGGAAAACATCTATCTGATATATTCTGATATCAAATCTATGCTGAGCCAATTCTGGACTTGCTGGACCTTCAAATGAGTGCTTTCACCACATCACAGCGAAAAAAACCATCAACAACTCTCTTCTGAAGATACAAATTATATACTTCAACACACAAGACAAAAAAAAACACAACAACAAATGGATCTGGATCGACTCCATACATCCAGCGATGGCGAATTCGGACGGACTGGCACCCTAGGTCAGACCGCCACACCGGGCACCCGCACGGCTAAATGGTCGAAGTGCTCCACCTGCACAGCGAGGAGGCGCCGCTCGGCCCATGCAGCTCGGGTGGAGACAGCTGCGTTTATGCGAAGGCATGAGACAAGTGGTCAAACAGGGGTAGCTTCTGTCATACGATGTTAATAACAATAAGTATTATTATCATTATCCATTCAATAGATCCTGGCAAAAGAAGGCTACATGTAGAAAGATGTTGAAACGATCCTCTTGGATTTGAAGATCAGTACCTATAAAACATATAAAACCACCATAAACAAGGAAGACACTCCTCTTCCGCTGGGCAGTGACTTTCCCCTTTGCCCTTTGACGTTGCCAAGCCGGAGCCAGCCATGATATGACCCGGTTTTCATGAGATCGAGGCAACTGAGTTAGACGGACGCCCAGGTGAACTGGGCCGGCCTGGGTGAAGACATACGTACTTTGCCGTCAGTTTTTCTTCGGCTTGTGAGCAATGACGTTGTAATGACCCATATAGATACTGTGTCTTGAAACGGCCTGGACTGAAAACACCACCACCCAAGTACCCCCCAAAACGCTGCTGCGATGACCAAGAGCCCGGTTCCCACGGCCTGGCTGGGGAAGCGCGCCAAGCCACGGTGGAAGACTTGTCGGTGGAGCACCTGGGCGAGGAAGCGAGTGGCGACCCAGTGAGAGGCGAGGAAGGTATCTATGAAGCAGTTAGAGTTCAAAGACAGCCCCTGACTGTATCAAGGCGAATGACAAAGGATGTGTATAATTTGGTATATATCGTGTTCTTACTGAGTAATATTTCAATGACTGGCTCAATGAAATGAATGGGTGGGGGTTTTCGCAGGTTCAGACGAGGGATTTGCTGAAGAAATGTGACAGTGGAGTCTCCTCTTTAAGGCCTCAAATCGCACACAAAAGGCCTACACAGTGATGGAGAGCCAGGTTTGCTAAGCATATTACAAAACTACATACATATACATACATGGATGGGATCAACTTCAAAGCACATTTAAAATCACCCAAATACCACGGCAAAATCATAATGGTTTAATCTTCAAGACACAGCTTCATTGGTCCCTGCATTGATATGTTTTGAACTACAAACAATTCAGCACACCACCTCTCACCTTCACAGTACCACCTCTCTGGTTCTGCGAAAGAAAAACACACCAGCACCAAGCGACATCACGGACAGCACGGACATCGAGAGAGAAGCCCACGGGTCATGGACCATAATGACCTTTTAGATCCAGCCCACTTGGGCCCCCAAAACAACCACAAAGAAATGGATGTTTCCCCAAACAGCCACTTCCTATCAAAGAAGGATTCAATTGCCATATTGGAACAACCAATTGTTTCTGGTTGTTTGGGGTTCCAGGTATTATAGCCATCATTTTCGGGTCCAGATTACCAGATTACTCCCGCCAGTGGTCCGGAAACCGTCCTGGTCCTGCCAGGAGGCTTGGATCAGGGACGTCTCCAAGGACGTCGCCGTCACTGGTGCGGTTTCGGACCTCGGGAACGGTCCCGTCGACTGACTTGAGCAGCTGTCGCTCTTGATTGGCATATGGCCTCTCACATCTTGGCTGGAAAGTGTGCCAGTGTTGATATGTGTTGATGCACGGACGAGATGACAGTCGTTCACCTGACAGTGCGTTTCCTTTCGTGATATCTTTCTTACCTTCCTCTTTACAGCCGCAAACGCCATCTACAGTTCCAGAGTTGCATCCAGCGGCACTGAACACTTTGTCATGGAATTTAAGATGTTTGGGCATGAAGCTCTTGACCTCTTCATTCATACCCTGCCTATGAAACCAAGACCAAACCCCAACTAACACACCTCACTGGTAGAGGAACGTCCTCTTCCAGGCATTTTCCAAGTGAACATGGAGCCACGGGGGCCCCGGCACGGCCAGCAGCCCGGCCTCTCCAAAGGAAGCGCCAATCCCACTGGTCTCCTGCGCCGTCAGCGTCCGTTGTTCAACCCCAGGTGCTTCAACTGCCCAACTTGAAGAAGCCTGGTGTCTGTGCTGTCGGCATGCAGCAATGCATCCCAAACAGTTTATTCCAAAAGAGTGGGAAGCGCGGACATGCGAAGGCGAGGCTCGAGGCCCTTCGCACAAACCCGCGGGACCCGCCTGCAAAAGGCCGGCCTTCTCTAAGCTCCTGAGTCGATGGAGTTGAAAAACGGATCAACCAAACGTCTCCCAAGGTTTTTTCGTCCCAAAACCACACAGCTAAACACCTTCAAACACGGCATTTTGGGCCACGTGGTTGAAACTCCTTTGCTCTCTCACGTCCTAATAAAAACACCATGTGGTCTCTCCCCAATCAAGGCATGATTGCATCATGATTGCGGAGGACGCTCCAACCAATTCTGGGCATCTCGTTTCCACCCCCCGGAGGCCGCTGCAAGAGACCTCTCGCTTTGACCGCACGAGA